GGCTATTGTTGCAGGAACTTGCGGAGGCTAGGAAGAAGAAGCGGAAGCGTCATTACAATTTAGAGCAAGTGAGTTTTGTTCACTCCAATTTTTTTCTTTTTATAAGCATTTCAATTTGCAAATGATTAATAGGGAAAGGAAAATATCATTAGGTATTGGTGGTGCTTGTGCGACATAATTTGAATGTTAATCGGTTGATGAAACTTGGCCTTTTATGATTACATTCAAAAATGTGCACCAGGCGTTCGAAACTAGTACCGCCTCGTTAATTCATGCGTCGTTAATCCCATTTAAATGCTCGAACTACGAGCTTATTGTGGCAATGGGATGAACCTTGTTTTTTGCCCCTTATTTTCATAGGAGCTTGCACATCTGTGGGAGAAGATGCGGCAACGAAATATATCCAAAGAAGATCGATCCAAGTATGTAGTTTGAAACGAGTTCTATTGCAATTCTACCTCAATCATCTCTCTGTAAAGCCATGTTCTTCATTTACTTATTCTTGTTATCTATGAACTTTGGTAAGGTTGGTGAGTGAAGCGTTAGAGAAAATGAAGGGGAAAATTCCTGAAATCGCAAGTTCCCATGTGTCTTCTCGTGTTCTGCAGGTTTTTATCTTCATTTATCAAATGATTTGAAGTTTTAAGTCCTTGTTTTCTTTTAGCAGCCTGTACTTATGTGCTCCTTTTACCTTAGACTTGCGTTAAGTACTGTTCACAAGCGGAAAAGGATGCGGTTTTTGAGGAGCTTCAGCCACATCTTCTAACTCTTGCATGCAACACATATGCTGTTCATCTGGTGACCAAAATGTTAGACAATGGTAAGGTTGAGCTTGGAAGTAGATATGTAGAAAGTTGTACTCTTTGACTTTCATACAAAACTATTATAGTTTGAATATCATTGGTAGCGCACACCCTTTTGTTTTCTGAGAAATTATTAAGTTGTTACCTATGCTTTATTTGGCAGCCTCCAAAAAGCAGCTAGCGGCATTTATCTCCTCTCTCCGAGGACATGTTGCTTCCCTTCTTCGTCACATGGTTGGTTCTGTAGGTATGTTAGATGCTCTCTGCAGTACTTGGAGATACAATATCCAACCAACCTTTTTTGTTTCCCTTATTACTCTCTAAGCGGTTATAATATTATTACTACTTTTCTAAATCCTCATATAGTCGTTGAGCACGCATACCAATTGGGAAATGCAACTCAAAAGCAAGAGCTTTTGGTGGAACTATATTCTACAGAGCTTCAGTTGTTTAAGGACTTGGTCTCGAAGAATGAGGGCAGGTAAAGGAAGAGCTGTGTATATTCATTTTACATGAATGTAATGTTATCACATTCTCATTGCACTTTGTATCAAATTCAGGTTACTAGATATAATTTCAAAGCTAGATCTGCAGAAATCTTCAGTCTTCCGGCACATGACTTCAGTGATTCAACCAATTTTAGAGAAAGGAATAATTGATCACTCTATAGTACACAGGGTGTTGATAGAGTACTTCACAATAGCTGAGCAGGTGTGGTTTAGATATTAATTGCAAATTATCATTTTCTGAATCTTGCCTACAATTACGATATAGGCCTTTACTTGTCATTTTGTCTCTCCTTTCTAAACATCTAGTTTTTTGTTTTAAGTTCTCTGCCACAGATGTAATTAAACAGTTGTCGGGTCCACTTCTTGTTCGGGTGATCCACACAAGGGATGGATCCAAGGTTGGGATGCTCTGTGTCAAGCATGGCAGTTCAAAGGTAGATTGTTATCATATCAAGTGCAAATTGATGTCAGTTGACTAAATGTGTTGGAATTTTGGCTACTAATCTACATTATCTTTTAATTTTATGACTTGTTTTTAGGAAAGAAAGAAGATAATTAAAGGAATGAAAGGCCACGTTCATAAAATAGCTCTTGATCAAGGTGGAAGCATGGTAAGCTTAGGAGACTTTATTATTATTTTTCCTGTATGTTACTTTAGCACTTATGTGTGATATTGTGTATTAATTTTTTTTATTTTGATACTTCTTTTTGTATTGTTTAAGTTGTCTTCATACAGCTTACTCTAATATTTTGCATATCTGAAAATGAATGAATTCTGTACTTCCCAGGTGCTTGTTTGCCTTGTTTCAACTGTTGATGACACAAAGCTTACTACAAAGGTTTGCTTTTCTTGTGGTGTTTGTTGCAGATAGGGTTTTATTTATTTATTTATTTATTTTTTTCACTGGGGGGTGGAGGGGGTTGTGGTATATACAGATTTCTGGTGAACCTCTCTAATTCAGATACTATTTATTACAGGTTGTCATTAATGAGCTTCAAGAAAACCTAAAGGATCTTGTTCTCGATAAGGTTGTCATTTCTTTCTACTGCATAAAGGCTTGATCAAGTTTTCATATCTACAGTCTCTAGTGGTCCTATTTCAACTATTCTCTACATTCCTAAAAGATGTTTTTCTATTGCAATCTTTCAGAATGGAAGGCGCCCATTACTGCAGCTACTTCATCCAAATTGTTCACGTTATTTGACTCCTGATGACCTGGCTTCCCTCAGTTTGTCTATCCCTTCACTTTCCAACAAGGTAGATTTCATATTCTCTTTTTGTAGAAAATAGAAATGTATGTGGCCAGTAATCGTTATGCATGAGAACTTACTCTGTTTCTATGTATTCTCAGGTTGAACCAGACAATTCTGAAACAAAATCTTCAAAGGTTAACAAATCTGGTGAAGAGGCCAATAGTGATTTGGAATTGGATGAAGCCGATATGAATCATGATGATGGCCTCCACTCAGTTGAGGGAGGAAAAAAGGATCCTGCCGTTCGAAGGCAAGAGTTGTTAGTCCAGAGTGGGTTGGCCGAGGTTTGTTGCTTTTAATACAAAACAGATTCCAATTTGAACATAGACATTATTAGTGAAATTGATTTAAATTAAACTTGACCGTCTTTTATACTAAGACATTGACTTTGATCGGGTATGCCTTGCAGAAGCTAGTTGATGTATGCATTACAAGTGCAGGGGAATTACTTAGATCAAATTTTGGCAAAGAAGTCATATATGAGGTACCTATTTCACTAGTTCCATTTAATGCAGATATATTAACCATGGAAAACGTTTTAGCATTCCATCCAATTCCCGTGCTTTGCTTGTCAAATGTGCATTCTGAAATGTTTGAGAATTTTCAACACTTCCGTGTGTTCTTGCGTTTGAATGCTTTGCAGGTTGCAACTGGGGGTGCTGGTGGCATTCTCCACCCAACTTTGGATGACAAGTTGAATGAACTATATGAAGCTATAGCATCTCTTGTCGCAGAACCTAAATCCCAAGAATCCGAAGAGGACTCAAAAGAGGAACACATCCTTGAAAATTTCCATTCCAGTCGGACCATTAGAAAACTAATCTTGGACTGCCCCACATTTGCTTCCACTTTGTGGAACAAGGCACTTAAAGGAAAGTGTGATTTGTGGGCCCAAGGTCACAGGTCAGCCTCTTTGTCTTGTTTCCCTGTATTATGATATGTGCATAAGAAAGCATGTGATTCTTTCTTTTGTACGTAGTTGTAATTTTCTTTTCTTCAACTTTTCACGCCCAAGTCTCGATAATATTACACTTTAGAGAAAAACATTTCAAACTCAACATTTTAGGGGAAAAAAAACCCAACCAACATGATAGTGAGAGGAGGATTTCACAACTACGAATCAATTAGAGCATTACTTTCGTGTTTTTTCTCTGAGCTCGTGAAGTGTTTTTGTATAAGATTTGTAGTTATCGGGGTCGTTTTATCTAATTTATTTTTTTCTTTCTCTGGGATTGCAGTGGGAAGGTGATTGCTGCATTCTTAGAATCTTCGGACTCTAAGGTCAATCAACTGGCAAATAAAGAGTTGAAGAAGTTGATAGATGGTGGCATTCTCAAAGTTCCTGAGCCAAAAGTAGTTACCGGAAAGAAAGAATGAGGAAATTGTGGTAAAGTCCCTGAGCTGAAACACTAAGTGACACCAACTCCGTTCCGGCAGCCTGCCTTCAGCGTAACTCTTTTGACTGAACGTAGTTAAAGGCCAGCTTAAAATTTTGTAGAATCCACCTTATATTTATACAGTTTGTAATGTGGTTGGTACAATCTCAAACTTTTACACAATTTGGCTCTGATTAGCGAGTTATTGTTGTGCGTTCAACATATTGGGAGGGCTACTATTTGAGATGCTTATTTTCTTTTATTCAAGCGATGTTAGGAAGGTTGGATTCAAACACACAACTTCGGGCATTAATCAGTTTGAGTTACGAGCGCATTACGTGATGCTTATTTGGTTGATAGGCAATGTTGCTAGATCATGATGCTTGACAACGAAAACCAAATACTCTATACACAATCAACTTCTTACCTACTATTTCTCATGAGATCCTTGAAATGTCTTGCACTCAAGTTAGGTAGAGCACAATCTCCGCTTTGGGGGAGATCTTACGTACGTCTTGCTGACCAGATGATCGAATACACCACGCCATGTTTCATCCTCTCTTTCTATAGAGGAGAGAAAGGAAGAGAAAACGATAAAATTGTGCTCAATTTCACACGTAGCAATTCCGCCAAGATCTCTTTAGTTGGGGGAAGAATCAAATACTTGGAATAATTCTACCACTTTTATACTAGCTTGCCGTTGGCCTTTATGAATTTAATCTAGACTACATAGGTGCAGGAAGCCTTACCGCCTCACCCGTCACTGAAGCGGATTCGGAATTGTCTTTCATTCCAAGGCATTACTTGTATCCATCCGCTTCATATTTGCCTGGAGCTCTATGGTTTGGGTTAGGTTTATCATTAGGTGATTAGGAAGCAATCGTCTCTATCGTCGTAAAATAAGAGCTTTTATGACCTAGCGACCCCTGTCCTCGTTAGTTTCTATAATTGCGCAATTTCATAATCTCTTTCTCACAATTTAGATTAATTCAGCGTAGACTATTTGTCGAATCGAAAACAGAAACCAATCATCTAGCAATCAAAACAATGCAGGAAGAAAAAGTTGAATGAGCCTAAAAAGAGGCCTGTCATCTTTTTCCAATTAATCAATCAATCAGTCATGAACGAACACAAGTAGACCTACTCTTAAACATCCCACTATCCGATCTGACCTCAAACACTGGAGAATCATAACTACCTCTACCCTGCTCATAATTGAGTACATGATGCCCAGTTCTCAACTGCCAAAAGTTCTTCGGCTTCTCGTAAATTCGAGCCCGAAGATGAGGGTATCCCTGAACCTTATGGTCAGATGGGTTGAAGACAGGGGATTCCCTTGGGAACCTGCTCTGAAACGCATCAAAAGCAGCAGGTGGAGTAAATAGTGAGGAGGAGGATTGCTTTCCTGGTGTTCCTGCAGCTGCATTGGCCTTCAAGCAGCTTTCTATCACCCTTACCTCCTCTCTGAATCTGTTTCTGACATCTTTCAGTCCCTTGGTTACTTTGCAAGGCCTTGAATTTGTGGGATTGTAAGGCTTGTGATGTGAAGAAGGATTGGGATTGGCAGTGCTTGGGGAGTTGTGGTGGGTTGTTGTGTAGGTGATTGTGCCACACTCAGAGCAGAACCTCCTCCATCTCTCCAAGTCAAAAACTCTTCTTTTTGCATCATCTGAGAGACATGAATATGCCTGCAAAACAATTAAAAAAAAATCAGAAATTTGAGTTAGTTCATAAATTGAAATTGAATGCGGTCACACCATAACACATGAATATGTTGTTGGGCGTCCAATCTGTGCTGTCAGGTTGTCACATGGGACTCACCCTTCACCAAAGTGCTTGTACGGTTGTACCCCAATTAAAGTGAGGCATAATATTACCAACATAAAGCTTTAGGAAATTGCTGTCAAATAGACTATAGCAAATAGTCTCCTTATATTGATATGATCTCGATATGTTGTCCATACTGTCTCATTATATCGGTAGCAAATACTCTTAAATAGTTTGATATGAAACAAATAATATCAATACGTTGTCGTATTGCCAATTTGTTATAACAATAGTACTATATGAGGAGAGTGATGCAATGATAGTGTTATTTAAGAGGTGATTTCACAATCTCGTTTGCTCCTTTTGCGCTTCTCCTTTTTTGTCCATTCCTCTTTAATTTATTCAATCTAAAGACGGAAAAAACAACGTAGAAGAGTGCATTAAAAGGAAAAGCGAGTTTGGAAATCACTAACCAAGGTCCCAAAGTTTTCATTATTGTAGTGGACAGGGGTGCAATATGGTTATAGAGTAACAACACACAATCAAAATGGTGGAAATTGTAAGGAGAACCATTCTAACCTCAGAAACAAGCTTGAATGCAATTTCAGCTTTTGGGTGTTTGTTCTTATCTGGATGAAGTTGTAAAGCTGCACAAGAAATAATAATCCCAACCAATATTACCAATCAAGCAATAATACCTGATATCTTGGAAATATGTAAAATGCCAATCTTTTTGCCCAAAACCTACCAACAAACCTACCAAGTTCATGATATCTCTTTCTTATAACATCCGCGCCAGCATTTTCCTCCACCTATGAATTTCCAAATTCCCACAAACATTTACAAGCAATCTCGAAATTTATAAAACAAGGGAAGAAAGAAGAAGAATCCCAAAATGGGTTCACATTTTGAATCCAAAAGGTGCAAGAAAACGTACTCGAAGGAGGCGATACCAATCGACGAAAGACGAATGAACAGGGCTGCTGCCGCCGCCATGCCGGTGAGAGCAGGCAATGGCGCGCGCGGAAACGGAGCAAATCTCAGTCACCAGCTGGGATTTCAAATCAGAATCCTGCCCCATTTTTTTCTCTCCAACGGAGAAAATGGAAAAGAAAGAGAAAATGCTTGAAATTGAATTGTTGTGTTGGGGTTGGAGAGAGAGAGGGAGGGAGGTGGAGCGGTTAAGAAAAATGAGCCAAAATTTGCGGGTGTGAATTTTGAAAGTGGATATCAGTTGGTGGCAAAGCGAGGGAATAAGAAGGGGTCGTCCGATAATCTTGCCACGTGGATCAATTTTGAGGTGGTATGGTCCTTTCCGTATTTTCCTTAGCTTAGTATTTGAGGTTCAAATTTAAATCAAAAGGAATTGGTACATATATTTTGTTGTTTTTCTTCCCATATCTGATTGTTGAGATTTTTACTATATGGTATATATATTTTGTTGTTTTTGCTACCTTGTAATTAAATGGTATATTTATTTCCAATAATGTATTTGATTTTTTTTTTTTTGGGAGAAGAAAAAAATGGAAATATTGATTGAATATTTGAATATGACCACTTTAAATTAATCGTGTATGAATGAAATTAAAATCTCAACCAAAAATATAAGATGTTTAATGAACATATATGTAGGACAATATGATCCATGTATCTAATTATAAGAACTAGTTGAAAGACAGGGATCATGGTAACTCCAATGCAAAGATGTAAAATTGGAGATGCAAATGTATTTTTATCAACTCTTGTGGCATCATCACTATTAGAATTTACAAACATGTAAACAGTTTTTGCTTCAGGTGGTAAAATTGCAAAATCTTGAGATGTTATTTGCATTTTTTTTTTTTTTTTTTTTAAATTTTTTTTTTTTAAATTTGTATCGATAGATTAAAGAGAGAACTTTAAGGTGAAAATTGTCCGTTTCAAAACAATTTACATCTTTCCTTGAGATTAAGAGTTAGTTGATGACTATATACATATCTCATTGCCCTTAAAACATCCGATAAAATTGAAATGACCATCGTGATACTTCTCACTTGTTAGTAATATGGTACAAGAATTAGAACATGTTCCAAAGCAAGAATTTAAGATGAAGCAAATGGTTGGTGGAGATTGTGGCTACAATGAAACTATGTTGGTACTTGTTGGTTTCTTGGTAGAAGAAGTTAGCAATGAGAGGTCATTTTACAAAGAGTAATGTTATTCATACCATATTTTTATACCACATTTTTATACCACTTTAGGTGTCATCTGATATGAACAGCCACATCATTTAAAAATTTGCAAAACCCAAGGAAAAAAATAAGAAAGACTCATCGTATACCACAATCATCATTTAATTAACTAGTTTTTCTTAATTATTAGTTTATTAAATAATTAACTAAATTTAAAAATATGATTAATTCAAATGATGTGACTGTCCACAACAAATGCCCACTTAAGATAGTATGAAAATGTGGTACAAAAACATGGTATGAATAACATTATTGTTTTACAAATGTCAGTGTGTCTAAAATAAACTCATCCAACCAAAGGTGCTGTATATAAATGGAGGGTCCCGAAGATTGATTGTTTGCAGTAGTAGATTGCAACTACAAAAGGTGCAGCTGGTTATAAGTTGAAACTCATGATGAACAGTCCCAGAGAGAGTTTTAATTAGTAGGTAGGCAACAAAAGCGTACTCAACTTAGTTAGTTAAGAACATTTATTTTTGCGCTCAAGTTTTATTTTTTCCTTTCGTACTATTTATTTATACTACAAAAATGCATCATGTGATGTGTTAATTAAGGGTAATGCTAGAGAGACTAAATTTGTAGACAAAATTTTATAAATTAAACGACATGGAAGTTGATGATTGGATTATTACTGAAGTGTTGATTAACATATTTATTTTTTATTGATGACACATCATTTGAAATGTAAATTTAGTCTACAAATAAAGTTTACTTAGCATTATTCATCAAATAATGCATACAACTAACATATAATAATGTAATTTCCATAACATTTTTCTTTTCAATATACAGGAGCCATGCAAGTTAACATTGATATTGAATCTAATAAGAAGTAACTTGCACGTGAAGAAAGGAGGCTAGTAGGTGGAAGAATATGTAGTCGACTGCATAGATAATGCCCAGTTGAAACTTTGGTATTAGTTGGTAATCAAGAGTAGGTAAACAAGAGCTTCCTGCAACTCTACCTGTAGGGTCCTTAATTGTATCGAAATCTTGTACCATTTTCCTATGACTTTAATCTCAATTTTCTTTTCTTTTGTTATGAGTTTTAAAGAAAAGCTTAGGCTCATCTACGTTGCAACCACATCGAAAAGTTTTGACCATGCACGCATGGCGCCGACCGGTAAATGTAAAAAGATATTTGTTCACGCATTTGTTGTAGAACTCGGAGTAGAGAATATTTATTTACGTGTGCATGAATCACTGTTAAATATAAGATTAGAATTTTAGCCTTGGTTTGAATTTAATAAAGATTAGACACTCAGTACTACGGTCTGATGATATTATTCTTCACTTATAAGTGATAGGTTTCGAATCTCGTAGACGACAAATTCGATACTAAATTAGATTGTCTATTGTATGGTTTAGCCGATCTCTCTCTTTTCTTAATGTAAAAACATATCATTGTAATCATAAAAACAATTTAATAAAGATTAGACACTCAGTACAATGCCCTGATGATATTATTCTTCACTTATAAGTGATAGGTTTCGAATCTCGTAGACGACAAATTTAATACTAAATTAGATTGTCTATTGTATGATTTAGCCGATCTCTCTCTTTTCTTGGTGTAAAAACATATCATTGTAATCATAAAAACAATTTAATAAGGAGTAGATTATGGTGTGGTAGGGTATGAATCCGCATTTGAAAAGGCGCCCTGTTTTCGTTGCCCGATGCCAAATTGCCAATAGTTTCTTTCACCACCCTCTCTCCTGGAATCTTTCTTAATATGAGCAATCTTGGCGTTTGGAATTTGACCTTTGCCGTTCTTCATTTGCCAATTAAATCATCAAAAGTCTTGGATTTGGAGCTTTTGGAGCTTTTGTTTTGAGATTGGCGAGCCTCTTTGTGAATTGGATCGGTTGTTTTATTTGGAGGAAATTCCAATCCCATTAGGGCTAATACATAGGTCAATACCAAGTGCATTGGTTTTATCTTTTTGGGATTATTTCAATGCATTTTACGTTGCTCAATGTCATTTTATATAAGTTTCCTTCCAAATATCCAAACAATGAAACTAATGAAGTAGTTGGATGTAGACCCAAAATTTGACCATGGTCCATGGCTAAGGCTTACTAAAAATGATCCATCATTCAGCTAAATGTAAATCCCTTGTTGTGATGGAAATAAAATCATGGAAAAAGTTTTCTCCGGACACAAGTTTTGCAAAATATTGTAGCCACACTCCGAGCTTTGAATACAGTTGCTTAAATTAGAAAGTTTGAAGTTTTGAAGCAAACATCCATATACGAATTTTTCAGTGACACATGCATTGACAAAGTTCCTTATAATGATTTTTTTTTTGTTTTTTTTTCAAGATTGAAAACAAAAGGTTAGGTATTTAGGCGATGTTATATTGGGTTAATTTCTTCCTTCAAATAACTCAGCTTCTTCTCATTGGTTAAACTTAAGTGTAGTACCAAATTAGGTAAAAAGGACAACCACCTCAAATAGACATTAATAAAACTCAAGTATAGTACCAAACTGGATAAAAAGAATTTATGGCCTACCTTTTACTGACAGTTAATTAAATATTCAAATTATTATTATTATTTTCAATTACATGAAATAAATACACAGGATAACCTAGCCAACACCACACTATATAAGCACAATTAGTTCTAGTCACTGGATCGGACTAGCCTTACTATTTCAAATAATCGAGACATATCTACAAGTTGATTAGTCTGGAACAACCCCAATTAGAATAAAACGAGTCTACAACAAAAAGTGATAAAGGCCATCAAAGCACACAGACTAGGATTGTTGGTAAAAAAAAAATTCATGCCAAAATAATGAAGAAAAGAGAAAAGTTTTGGGGTTTTTGTAATGACCATTTTGTTGCCGGAAGGCTGCAAATCATGTCTTGAACTTCAAAAGAAGTTCAAGTACGAAAAACGACCGGAGGAAGAAAAGAGTTCAAAACCAAAGGTTTGGTATTTTGGGTTCTCTTTCCTTCAAATAACTAAAGGTTTGTTTGGTATCCTACTTGACTCTAACTTTTTTTACTGAAAACCATTTTTTGAGTTTTAGGCGTTGAATTCTTGTTTGGTAGGACTCTTTTTAAAATTTAGATTCATAACTAACTTAAAAACATATGTTATTTCTTAAAAACATTAAAAGTGAGTTTTTAAAGTTTTTTTTGTTTTCTCCTCAACATCTATTTTTTGCTCTCTCCTAATCCTTTCTTTTTTCTCTCTCCTAACCCTCTCTTTCCTCTCTCCCCACGTCACACCCTATCTTCTTTCTCTCTCCTCACCCTTTGTCCCCATCACCCTCTCTTTCTCCTCACTCCTTACCTTCTCACCGTAATTTTTTGCTCTCTCCCTCACCTTCTCATCCTCTCTCTGTCTTTCTCTCTCCTCGCCAACTATTTCCTCCCTCATCTTTCCCAATTCTCTCTCTCCTCCAATTTCTGCTCAAGGTAGTTTGAATTCAAACTAAAAAATTTATTTTTAAAAATCTGAAAATATGACTTTAACCCTTCAAATTCAATTTTTTTTCATATAAAACCCGATATAATTTTTTTACTTAAAAAAGCCCCAGTGACTAGGATCCACCTAAGTGAATTCATTAATTACATATTACTTTACACATTTTACATTTTTAGATGCCCAAAATACCCCTATTGCATATTTGATGTGCACAATTAATTCTATATAGATTGTAAGGAGAGACTTAATGATTTTGTAAAAAGAAAAATAAGACATTAATGTTAAAAAATTCATTGCATATTAATATCAAATATGAGAATTGTTGGCTTAATTCTATGTATCTAGTATTATGAGTTCATATATATATTTTTACACAAAAAAAGCCTAATATATGTAATAATACATAAAAAAAAAGTAATTTACATACCATGTACAAAAATGTTATTTGATTCAAAATGTGTGTATATATATATGTGTGTGTGTGTGTGTGTGTATTTATATAATTAGACCATATTAATTTACCTACCTACTATTTGAAATGTTCATGCAAA